CACACAAAGGGTCATAAAACTCCCCAGTATTTCCAAACTCTCACTTGGGATTTCAGCCTTTCTCAGTGGACAAGCCCATCTTAAGAGGCGTGACTCTTCTCAGACCCTAAAGGCCTCACACCAGTGACCCGCCTTCAGTCTGCGGTTTGGTTGAATTCTGAGAAGATGAAAATGTGAGCTACAACACTCCAGGACACCCTACGTTTTGTGCCAGGCCTCGGGCCTCGACTTTCCATTCACCAAGATAATCTGACTCAAACTGGTTCTTTTCCATCAACCAACTTCAGCAAAGATCAACTTGGGCCTTCAGATTGCACCAGGAATCTCTGTCAGACAGACAAGTCATGCAAGTATCAAACTTAGTTTTATTAATTGATACATTAGGAATCAGTTTGAACTAAGAATCTGATGTTTCCTTCAGCCTGTAAATCTGCTGAATATCAAATGGTTCCATAACTTCATTATTTCTCTCCTTTTTACTGCTTAAGCTTTAACCCTTTTCCTATACCAACTGTATGTGTGTGTGCATGTGTATGTGTATGTTAGACTAGTTTAAGTGTTTATGTAGTTAATAAAGTCTTACTTGTATCACACTTGACGTTGTTCATTATTTGCTCATAACTGGAGTCCCTAATCATGCAGATTTATGCTACAGGCTCTGTGGACAATTGTACAGTAAGAAAGTTATTTCCCTTAACCAGGAAATTAACGTTCTTACAATTGACAGACAGTTGACCCCGAGAGGTCAAGTAAATACTTACAGCGGATCTAAATATTTATAATTAATTATAACTAGTTATGATTAATTATTCATATTTCCCCGTGAGCTGATTCGCTACACCTATTATTTCACTTTTGAAGATTCTGATTCATCCACTGCAGTCGTATGGGTTACTGTAGTGTTATTTTTGTGTGGTTTTTAAAATGTCAACTTTTGTCAACCATTCACTTGCATTACATGGACTCACAGAAGCATATTAATTCCGATTTATCCTTTGGACTTTCAAGCCTATGGGCCCTAACATACACCAGGTGCTACGCAAGAGTTTTTTGCTATACACTTACACCCATCTTGTTCGTCCATGGGTGTGCTAATACACCAGGTGCTACGCAAGAGTTTTTGCTAGTTTCAGCCCGACGCAGTTATCATTTTCACATCCAGCTCCACGTTTTTTAAATAGCAAATGCACTTACACCCATCTTGTTCGTCCATGGGTGTGCTAATCTGAAAAACAGATGTGTTCAGGCGCATTGTTGGCGTGTTGCTATTTCGAGGCAACTGAAAATAATTGCATCATTGACCAACTAAAATCTGGTCTAAAGTCAATATTGCAGTATTGTTTTTATTTATTTAAAGGGCGCGTTAGTAATATTCACCTATAGGCGGATCCACAACTCGCGTACCCTCTGCTTATGTGCTTCAGTCCATGCGCTTAGATCGTTAAAATAGGGCCCTGTGAGTATATTGATCTTTGGTTGTGGGAAGGATAATATAAAATCAAAGTTCTGATTTTGTAAGACCCTAAATGTTCAGCAAATTTATTTCATAAGCCTAAAGTTGGTGGGAATAAATAGCTTACTATTTAAAAATGTATTCTGCTTTATGTACTGTACTCTATGAACTACAGTGAACTGTACAGTGATTGAATGGCATTCACTGCATCAGTGTAAACAGTATTTTGCGTGCCTTGCAATAATTTTCACTGGCCTCAAAATATTACGTTTGTTTGTTTTTAGCATATTTTATATTAGCCAAAAAAATATTTAAATGTCATGTTAAACCTAGTCTGTCATCTAGCTAGTTAACACTGCCTTGGTGAGACTAATAAAAGATCTAGCCAAACTTTGCAGTAGCTGAAGTAGTTAATTAGATACATTTAATATTATTATACTGAGAAAAACACACACGCATGCAGTTCAATCAATAGGGAAAAAGTGATTTTAATTTTCAACAGATCACAAGAAAAAATAATGTACTGTAGTCAAAGCACTGATACTTCCAGATGATTTAGAAAACAAAATGTATGTGCCTGCCCTACTTGAGCCCATAGATGTGACTTGTATACAAAGTGCTGCCTTGCTGAACTACTTGGAAAGAATCAAATAGGTGCATAAGATCCAGGTTAATGGATGTATATATTATAACAATCAAAAAATTTTAACAAGCTGAAGAAAGTTGTGGGTTAAATGGTCAAATCCTGCAACGTTTGAGCAAGCGTGAAAAATGGATGGTTGGACAGTTGATGTCAGATACTTTACATCTAATGTATCTGATGTTAATCTTTTATTTTCAGATATATCCTCTAGTCATTCAAAAAATTGCTAATTGCTTTCGCAGCATGAGTCAAACGAGTCTGGCGAGCTCTTAGGTCGCTGCGCCTTCTGCTGACATCAGGGTCCTCAGACAGGAGCTTCTGCAAATCTGGCTTTTCCAATAATTTCATTATGTCAATAGACAGGAGCCGAGCAGTCTCCTGCAACATGTAAAAGGTGATCATCAAGGGCAGTTGGTCAGCCAATCTCTGCACCACAATCTGAAAGAAAACAATTAGAGAAGTTACGTCCTCACACCACAAGCACAGTGCAATTTGTGTTACTGAAAACTAAGATCTACCTCATAATACGCCTCCAGCATTTGACTGTACTTGCATTGTTTGTCAAAGACAGGTAACTCCTTTTCTGAAAAAGTCTGGTTTGTTTTCTCACTCAAGACCTTCAGGAAAATGAGATCTTGAGTAAAGATCCCGTTTTCCATTTTAAACTGCTCTGAGATCCTCTGCTCTGCCTTTTCTTGTTGGTTAAGTTGAATGTCGTTGATTTTGTCCTATAGAATCAAGTAAGGAAGTACAAAGGAAAGAAAACTTGATCAAATTGGACTAAAAATCAACCATCTTTGCAATATTTGAGGACCAATTGAAGGGTATTATTTGCCTCGGTGATGTTTTGAAGGACATGATAGTTCTGGAAACACTCACTCACCACGTCAGTGAATTGCTTAATGATGATATCTTCAGAAGAAATACAAAATGACAAATAGCCACGATTCACATATGCAAAACTATTACTCATTCTGTTCTAGATCTAATCTTTTGGTTTTATAATGGAGACTCTCCACAATGGCCACAAAGTCTTTACACACAAATGTGTGATGGTACCTTTTATGGCATTGAGTAAATCAATGGCTGGATCCTTAAGTTTGGCCACATGTTCCTGCAGAATCTTCTCAAAAACTATGTAGTTGCTGAAGCCAGGCAGTTCCCTCCCTCTGTAATTCTCG